GTTTAATTGTATTTAGTATTTAGATAAGTCTTGTTTCATAACAAGGACGTTTACGTTGTAGTAACACCCTGAAGCCAGCAGGTGGTGTATGGTGAGCAGGTGTAATGAGGTCAGTGGCGCTCCTTCACCAATATGGCTGAAGCGAGACAAGAGGAAACACCGTGTCCGCCTGACTCATCCTTATCCTGTATTTTTCAGGTTCGTACTAATGTCACAAGCACAATGTATGGGTCAGAACATACTTATAACGGTAACAGCTAACTGTTAGAATGTTTTAAATGAGTTTTTTCTGTAGTTTTGTCAAGTTTTGTGTGGTAACGGAAAAGACAAGGAACTGGTCAAGGCGAAGTAACGGCCGCCATCTTATGTGTCTCGTATTTTATTTTTCAAGCTCCGATTTAGATAGTGGATACTGAATTTTACGTGCCCTGACATAGTTTGTTGTGTGTACATTCGAAGTTAATGTTTGTAGGTTTGAATAATTACAGTTAAAAAGGTCTCCAGCTGAAGTTAAAGCCAGTATTCGTAGCTCAGGAGCTGCTAAGCTAGTAGTGGTACATAAGTAGTAGTTTAAAAAAGTAGTACAGCTACATTATGAATAAGATATGATATATGTATATTAAATACAGACAAAATAAATAGATAAAAAGTATATAATTGACTAGATACAGTGTCAAGGGTAATTTAGACATTTACTGTACATGATTAAATGATTAAAATGTGATTGAAATGTGATTATTATTATACATGATTGTGTGAATAGCATTTGTAAATGTTGAAGGATGAAAACACATGATTGTATTAATAAAAATATGGCTGAAGCGAGACAAGAGGAAACACCGTGTCCGCCTGACTCATCCTTATCCTGTATTTTTCAGGAACATTTATTAATCTGCTCAAACAGGCCCAGGACCTGGGTCTGTTACAGATTCTTGGTGGCCCGTACGGGGATTGGCTCTACATCCATGGAGCTGATCCTCATCAAACAACAAACCTGCTAAGGAGCTGACTGAAAAGGAGCAAGGAGAAGACCCTACTGAAAGTGACCTATCACAGAGCTACGGAGAGAACATTATGGCAGACAACGAAAGGAAGAGCCTGGTGTGGGACATCAGGAAAGGCCTGTTCGCATTGTCGCATGATCAACTTTTCCAAATTGCTTCAAACGTGGGTACTGGACCAGGCAGGGATTCTTCAGAGCTGTCAAGTGGAGATGCAGAGGGATGCTTCAAGTATATTAGTTCCTTCATGTACAGTAAGACTTTGTTAGAAGCCGAGGACCGTGGGATGGGAGATTTATTAGCTTTGAAGGACATTGTAGATGAGTTGCTACGAACGCCCAGTGAGAATGCAGTTGAGATAACTGGGGAAGCGTCATCACAAGTTCTTACCTCACCACCCTCTGAAAGCAGTGAACAAGACACGATGCAACCAAACATGGACAATAGTAGTACTAGTCCAGTATTTTCACATGATGATGTTCTCAAAATCATTGCAGACTATGAAAAAGTAAGCAAAACATTACAGGGGCTAGTAATAAATCCCACTGTTCAACCTGCTCAAGATAAGAATGCCCCACAGGCCAGACCTCCGGTTGTTAACCCTATAGTTTCCCTCCGAGACCTACCGTACCTGCCAAGACGTGAGTTTAAGGTTCAGGGAGGACAAATCGGGGATCACACATCAGACATTAGCTACAACAGTGTTTGCAGACAGATGGAAGAAGGCACAAAAGAACACTTCACAGAGTCAGAGATTGTGAGGGGCGTGCTGAAGATCATAAAACCTGGAGATTTCAAGGACATGTTAGTTAATAAAGATGATTTGACATTAGCTGAGCTAAAGGGACTTCTGCAGTCACATCTTGGAGAGAGGAATAGTACAGAGTTGTTCCAGGAGTTGATCTGCGCTAAACAGAGAGACAATGAAACAACCCAAAAATTCCTGTATCGTGTGATTGGCCTAAAACAAAGAATCCTTTTTGAGTCTAAAAAGTCTGATTCAGAGATTAAATACACACCAGAAACGATTCAAGGTGTCTTTTTACATACAGTTTATCAAGGCATAGGGCACAAGGATAACAACATCAGAAGAGAACTTAAGCCCCTACTCGCAGATCAGACTGTCACTGATGAGACAATCTTGAAACAAGTAATGAAAGTGACAAGTGAAGAGAGTGAGCGTCATCGTAGGTTGGGTCCCACACAAAGGACAAAAAATGCAAATGCTCATGTAACACATGTGGATGAAGTAAAAGTTGAGCAGACAAGGAAAGAGGCGAAAGATCAAAAACCAAAAACTGACACTGTAAAAGATCTGGCAGAAAAGATTGATGCGCTCACAAAAATGGTAGATTCACTTGCAAATATTGTACAAAAAGAACGTGACAGCAGTGCATCCAGACCATCTGCAACAAAAGCTGAAAGACTGTATGGTTGTACTAAGTGTGTCCAGGCAGGTTCCAAAAACTGCAACCACTGCTTCTCCTGCGGCGAAGAAGGCCACAGATCCATCGGCTGCTTAAAGCGTCTAAAGCAGCAGGGAAACGAGAGCCGGTTGCTGCAGAGGGATAAACAGTAACCGGGATGACATCCAGGTCCCGCCTTGAGACTGAAACGGCACCAACGACACAAGTGAACCACACAAAAGCAAGAGAACGAACATTGAATAAACACAGCAAACACACTCGAGCCACAGTAGGTAACAATGAACCAATAGTGAAACTAATAGGGAAGAAAGCAACTACCAAGTGTCTCCTTAATGGTTTAACTGTTAGTGCTCTTGTAGATACTGGGGCCCAGGTTAGTTTGATAGATAGGGCTTGGAGAAACAAGTACATTCCAGATGTTAGTGTCCGCCCTATATCAGAACTGATGGAGTTAATGCAGTTTGAGTCAGCGCCTATAATCTATGCTGTTAATGGGGAACGTTTACCTTTTGATGGGTGGGTTATCTTAACAGTGAACTTACCAGGTAATGAAGATCCAAGGCTCTCACTAAATGTACCTTTCCTAGTCAGTTCGCAGCCGTTAGAAACGCCACTAATAGGTTTCAATGTAGTGGAGGTACTCATTCAAGGTAGCCCAGAGCAGGCAGCTTGTAATTTTGCTAAGTTACTTGGGGGAGCATTGTCCATTCCAGAAGACGATGCACAGGGTATGGTGCAATTCATTCAAACTCGTAAAGTGAACGCTGCCCAGGGTCGCTTAAGGTTAGGGTACAAAGAGACAGTTATCCCTGCAGGCAGTACTACCTGGGTAAGGTGTAAAGTCCCACCTCAGCTTGACCCCAGCGAGAAATTAGTCCTGTTTGAGCCAGAAGAGAGTTATGTTCAGTTACAAGAGTTAGGGCTAGGCGAAGGACTCCTTGAGATCCAACCCGGCAAAGTACCCTTTGTAACTGTGCCACTTGAAAATCACACAAAACATGATATTATCTTAGCAAGAAAGTCTGCTATAGGTAGTATTCAGCCAATAAAGAAAGTGATTGAGACAGATTTACTAGATGATGTTGAGGCTGAGAGATATACAGCCACTATTGCAAAAGTTGAGATAAAACCTTCACTAACTTTGTGGCAACCACCTGTAGATCTAAGTCAACTTGAGAAAGACCAACAAGAGACTGTAGAAAAGATGTTATTTGAGGAGTCGGGAGCTTTTGCTAAAGACACTAATGACATCGGCTGCATCCCAAGTTTACAAATGTCACTATGCCTCAAAGACGACATCCCTGTACAAAGAGCTTACTCGTCTGTGCCGAAGCCTTTGTTTTCCGAAGTGAAAGAATACATACAAGATCTCCTCGCTAAAGGGTGGATTGTAAAGTCAAAATCTCCATATGCAGCTCCTGTCGTGTGCGTCCGCAAAAAGGACGGCTCATTGCGCCTTTGCATAGACTACCGTTTACTGAACAAGAAAACAAACCCGGACAAGCACCCTCTCCCACGAATCCAAGATCTGACAGACACTTTAGGGGGGCACTCCTGGTTCAGTATCCTCGATCAGGGCAAGGCGTACCACCAGGGATTCATGGCAGAAGGCTCACGTCACCTCACAGCCTTCGTCACTCCCTGGGGGCTTTACGAGTGGGTACGAATACCTTTTGGCCTCTCAAACGCACCAGCCGCCTTTCAGAGAAGTATGGAGGAAATGTTATGTTCGCTCAGAGACAGCTGTTGTATTCCATACTTGGACGATATCTTGTGTTATGCACCAACATTTGAAGAACATGTCGAGGGTGTTAGACAAGTTTTGAGAGCACTCCAAAGACATGGTGTAAAGTTGAGACCTGAAAAATGTGAACTGTTTCGCAGAGAAGTGAGATATGAGGTCGCCTTGTATCAGCAGAGGGTGTGCGAATAGACCCTAAGGACTTAGAGGCTGTTCAGTCACTAAAAACAAAGACACCACAGACAGTCGGTGATGTAAGGCGCCTACTAGGTTTTCTGAGTTATTATCGTAGCTATGTACAAGACTTTTCGCGCATTGCAAAACCTGTATATGAACTGTTGAAACTCAAACCAGGCGTGTCAACTCACCAGTCCTGTCAAGCAAAGACAAAAGGTCCTCAGTTGTCATCCAAGGCCCCTGTTGAGTGGACTAATGAGCATCAGCAAGTAGTAGAACAATTAATCGACATGCTCATCAGTCCTCCAGTCTTGGCCTATCCGGATTTTAACTTACCCTTCTGTCTCCACACAGATGCCTCGGAACAGGGCTTGGGGGCTGTTCTGTATCAGCGCCAGAACGGGAAGCTAAGAGTCATCGGGTATGGGTCTAGGACACTCACACCAGCCGAAAGAAACTATCGTCTCCACAGTGGCAAATTGGAATTCCTTGCACTTAAATGGGCAGTGTGTGAGCGTTTCAGAGACTACCTGTACTATGCCCCTTATTTCACGATATAAACTGACAATAACCCATTAACTTATGTAATGAGCACAGCCAAGCTAAACGCTGTGGGACATCGCTGGGTTGGGGAACTGTCTGACTTTCGTTTTGAGATAAAGTACAGACCCGGAAAGACAAATGTGGACGCTGACACGTTGTCCCGTCTGCCTCTGAATATTGACAAGTATGTACATGAGTGTACTGAGGAACTATCACCCCACGTGATTCAAGCCACATGGAATGGCGCTAGAGCTGCTCAGGACAGTGAGGTTGCGTATGTTGCTGCCCTTGTCCTCGCCAATGTGAACTCAGAACCGCAGTCACTTGTCCCAGCCATTAGCCAAGAAGAACTTGCTCAAGCACAAAAAGAGGACAAAACTGTGGGTGAAATCATCCGATTGAAAGAAAATGTGACTGTTTTAACACATGAAATTAGAAACTCTGTGCGTAAAACAACAAGAAAAGTTTTGCAGGAGTGGAACAAGCTGCATTTTGAAAACGGACTTATGTACAGACAGAGTGGTGACAGACAGCAACTAGTCCTCCCTGCCAAGTACAAAGACATTGTGTTAAAACATCTGCACGACAATATGGGACATATTGGCACAGAGAGAGTACTAGCTCTGGCAAGAGATAGATTCTATTGGCCATACATGAAAAATGAAATTGAGTACTATGTCACAAGAAGATGCCCATGTATTATCAGCAAGAAACCAACAGCGCCCGTCCGTGCTCCCATGGGCTCCATCACATCAAATTCACCGTTGGACCTGGTCTGCATCGACTATCTTCATCTAGAGCCCAGCAGAGGGGGATATGAGTATATCCTTGTCGTCGTAGACCACTTCACTCGGTATGCCCAGGCGTATCCAACCAAAAACAAAGCTGGGAAGACGGCAGCGGAACGCATCTTTGGAGACTTCATCCCACGCTTTGGATACCCGGCGCGACTACACCACGACCAAGGTCGCGAGTTTGAAAATGAACTCTTCAAGACTCTGAGGGAGAAGTCTGGGACTGGACACTCGAGAACATCACCGTATCATCCGCAAGGTAATCCAGCTGAGCGGTTTAATAGGACACTTCTGCAGATGTTAAGGACATTAGGTGAGAAGCAGAAGGAACACTGGAAAGATCATTTACAACATGTAGTTCACGCTTACAATTGTACGCGGCATGAATCCACAGGGTTTTCCCCTTACTTTTTGCTTTATGGACACCACCCACGTCTCCCAGTTGACTGTTTATTTGGTTTAGTTGGGGACAAACAGACAGTGTCACACAAGAGCTATGCAGATAAGTGGGCTACAAAAATGACAGAGGCGTACAAGATAGCCAGTGAGAAAAGTAAACAGTCTAGTGCCAGAAGCAAGTCCTACTATGACAAAAAGTTAAAAGGTGTTGTATTGGAGCCTGGAGATAGAGTCCTCGTTAGAAACTTTAGTGAACGAGGGGGGCCGGGGAAATTACGTTCTTTCTGGGAGAAAAACATTTATTTGGTTAAAGAACAAGTAGGTGACAACCCGGTATATGCAGTTTACCATGAGAATAGTGATGGGAGTAAGACTAGAGTCCTCCATCGTAACCTCTTGTTACTGGTTAATGATCTCCCAGTAGAAACCCCGCCTATTAGGCCCGAACCCACATCCAAAAGACAGACAAGACAGAAAAAGTCTAGTAGAAAAGACATGCATAACAGTAACTCTAGCGACTCAGACTCTGACGAGAGTACAGGGGGTTATTGGTTGAGGTTTCCTCTTAGACCGACTGGTCAAGTAGGCAGGGGTACTGACTTTAGCCAGCCTGACTTGCCCCAGACAAGCCAAGCCCCTGAGAACACGAGTAACCGCTTTCTGTTGCCAGTAAGAGACAGTGATGGAACCAGTGCGCCAGAAGGACACTTACAGACTGAAAGAGACAGCCATGTGCCACAGGTGACCCCCGCCCCTGTGATATCAGCCCCACCAGCTCACTCTGGAGAAGGAAGTGAAGAAGGTAATGTTTTCATACCTCCAGAACTTCCACAGACACCAGTTGACCTACATACTGAAGTAAGGAGGTCAAATAGAGAAAGGAGACCGAGGCAAGTGTTTACCTACCAGTCACTTGGTGAACCTACCCTTCAACCACAAGCCATGGTTTCCACCCTCTCACCGTACATGCCGTATCAGCCATGGGTAGCCACACCTTATTTTCCATTTGGTGCTGGTTTTGTGCCTAATATCCCGCATACTTTTGCCCCACAGACTTATGCCACACCCATGTTATGGTGACTAAGATTTTGAGTTGTAAAGTGTTTGATTTTTGTATTTTGTAATGTCAGGAGCCATTTTTATTTGTCAGGGAGCGTGTGACACCCAGTAATGTGTTGTCACATTATGTTTAATTGTATTTAGTATTTAGATAAGTCTTGTTTCATAACAAGGACGTTTACGTTGTAGTAACACCCTGAAGCCAGCAGGTGGTGTATGGTGAGCAGGTGTAATGAGGTCAGTGGCGCTCCTTCACCAATATGGCTGAAGCGAGACAAGAGGAAACACCGTGTCCGCCTGACTCATCCTTATCCTGTATTTTTCAGGTTCGTACTAATGTCACAAGCACAATGTATGGGTCAGAACATACTTATAACGGTAACAGCTAACTGTTAGAATGTTTTAAATGAGTTTTTTCTGTAGTTTTGTCAAGTTTTGTGTGGTAACGGAAAAGACAAGGAACTGGTCAAGGCGAAGTAACGGCCGCCATCTTATGTGTCTCGTATTTTATTTTTCAAGCTCCGATTTAGATAGTGATACTGAATTTTACGTGCCCTGACATAGTTTGTTGTCTGTACATTCGAAGTTAATGTTTGTAGGTTTGAATAATTACAGTTAAAAAGGTCTCCAGCTGAAGTTAAAGCCAGTATTCGTAGCTCAGGAGCTGCTAAGCTAGTAGTGGTACATAAGTAGTAGTTTAAAAAAGTAGTACAGCTACATTATGAATAAGATATGATATATGTATATTAAATACAGACAAAATAAATAGATAAAAAGTATATAATTGACTACAGTGTCAAGGGTAATTTAGACATTTACTGTACATGATTAAATGATTAAAATGTGATTGAAATGTGATTATTATTATACATGATTGTGTGAATAGCATTTGTAAATGTTGAAGGATGAAAACACATGATTGTATTAATAAAAATATGGCTGAAGCGAGACAAGAGGAAACACCGTGTCCGCCTGACTCATCCTTATCCTGTATTTTTCAGGAACATTTATTAATCTGCTCAAACAGGCCCAGGACCTGGGTCTGTTACACATAACATGTCTATTCTAATACTGTTCCAAAAAGCAAGTGATTTAAATTAATTTAAAACTGGAACTGTGTGGTTCGGCTGGAGCCACAGTCAGGAACAAGCATTGCTATAGCTCTGCAGAGAAGGTGATCAGCGAAAGCCTCCCATCGCTGCAGGACCTCTACGACGCCCGAGCTCGAGGCCAGGCTGGTCGTATCACAGCCGAGCCCTCTCACCCTGCACATAGACTGTTCCAACCTCTCCCCTTGGGCAGGAGACTACGGTCCATTTGGACCAGAACCTCACGCCATAAGAATTGTTTCTTCTGTTGCACTCTTGAACACTTCATAACCTGTCCCCGCCCTTTATAAAGTCACCTTACTGCACTATATAAAGTCACTTTACTGCTGTCACCTTATTGCACTGCTTACTTGCACTTGTATATTGTATATAGTAATTGTAATCATTTTAATTTATTTTTTATACCTAAAAAGTGGATGCTGATTTGTGTTATGCTTACTCTATTCTTTACCTCATCTTTAGAGATGACCCCGCTCCCATCTCTGTGTGGAGTGAGAGGACAAATGCCAAAAAAATAACAATTGTAAACCGCTTTGTGACTCTGGTCTGTGAAAGGCGGTGTTCTGTCGAGTTGGTCTGCCCGTCGAGATGATCTGCCTCAGCTGTTAATGATGTAATGCAAACCTGTGCTGCGCGTCTCACGGCAGCCGAAGCAATCCAAGATGGCGGACATGTAGTCCGCGAATTGCTTAAAAAGTTAAATACAAACGAATTAAGACACGAATGTCACTTTTAATGCAATTTGAGGCGAGATGTTGATGGTTCCGCGTTGTGATATGTGTTTTTTAAGAGTAAGAGTTTCGTGTAAAGTTTGTTTTAAGCAGTCCATTGCTCCTGTGAAACTACACTGCTGCTGTGTGATCGCAGTCCCTGAGTTGACTGCTGCATACGTCATTTTACTGACGTAGGCCCATGACGCGTCCTGTTACTGGTCTGTCGGAGTTTTTTCCCCATTCTGGCGGATTTCTGCGCATGCGCAAGTCAGATTTGGGCACACTAGCAGTGTAGTTTCACAGGAGCAGTGGACTGCTTAAAACAAACTTTACACGAAACTCTTTCTCTAAAAACCCACATATCACAACGCGGAACCATCAACATCTCGCCTCAAATTGCATTAAAAGTGCCATTTGTGTCTTAAAAAGCAATTCGCGGACTACTACAAAAATAAAAATGACATCTTAAAAAAATATAAGCTTAAAAATAGTTTTATCACACACAGTGACTCATATTCTTACGTTCTTGTGTTTAAATTACTTAGAGATGACAGAAATGGATCATTCTAAAATGTGACAATTATTGTTCTCCATAAAGTCTAATAATATGAAAAATAATGATTCAAAAATGCTTATTTACTTTTTCATGAAAGTCACAAGTTTAATCGTGGCACTGTTTGTTCTGTGCTGTCTGTTGTTGAATTATAGTTGGCATCTGTGAACAGCGGTGTGTCATGACTCTTGTATCACCTTTTTGAAAAGATGTCTGTAGGTCAGCATCAAAAGCCTTGGATAAGTGCACAAAGATGAACAAGGCACTGCCTTTAATGACAGCTTATCCTTGAGAACAGGAAAGGGTTAAAGATTGTTTGTGGAAGGACAAAATGAGAGGGAATAAGAAGTCAAACCGGTCTCTAAATATGTAATACATTTTTTGATTAATTTTGAGTCATTGTTTTGAGTTAGCCTGGTCTGCTCTCAGTGGTCCTGCGGGTAATATTTTGCGGTCTTGCTGCCCTTTTTTTGTTGCATTCCTTTATTGCTGTGTACTAATGCACATTACTTTCTGCATCTTCATTGGCTCAGGCCAGGGATACATGGTGTCTGACACATTTTGACCAGGTTGATGGCGGGTTGTAATAAACCACCCATCCATTTTCTTCCGCTTCATCCGTTGCCAGGTCGCAGGGCCAACAGTCTGAGCAGAGACGCCCAGACTTCCCTATCCACACACACTTCCTCCAGCTGATCTGGGGGAACCAGTTGAGAGACATAGTCCCTTGCGTGTGTCCTGGGCCTTCCCTGGGATGTCCTCCCCTAACCCTAACCCGTTCCTGGAACACCTACAAGAGGCATCCAGACGGATGCACGAGCCAAATCAACTGGTTCCTCTCGACGTGGAGAAACAGCCACTCTGCAGAGGAACCGCTTGTATCTGCAATCATTACTCAAAGCTCATGACCATAGGTGAGGGAGGGAACGAAGATTGACCGGTAAATCGAGAGCTTTCCATCTTTACCACAACGGTCCGATACAGCGACCGCATCACTGCGCTCCATCTCCGCTCCATCCTTTCCTCACTTGTGAACAAGACCCTGTGAATATTTAATTACTATTTGCTGTTTAAAATATCATGTTAAATAGTTCAGTAGAGACATAACACCTGTACTTTGGACTGCTTACAGAAGCATGGAGCAGATAAGGTGTTGATGTACATAACATGAGATAATGCTATCTCATGTACATTGGAGTTTGGTCCGTTACGCAACTTTGAAACCATACGCTTGCTTCTCACATAGTCATGCTTCCAGCCTATGCTTACCTAAACATTATTTGGTGTATATAAGGAGTCAGCCTTTGAAAGTACAGCAGACTTCTGCTAGAGCCAGACGGGAAGCTGCGTTGTGCTTGATCAGAATACGCTCAAACCTTCTGATAATAAAAACTCTATTTTGCAGTTTTGTCGAAGTCTCTTTTGTCTTACGTCTGGGATCTTTCACAATTTGGTGACACCCCGACGTGATACAAAAAGCCCAAGACAAAGACAATTTTTATTATTTTTATTTTTTCAACCACACTTTTTGCTCCAGACAGCGCTTCATCTTCTCTGGCTTTGCAGAAGTCTCCGTAAAAGATACAGCTCCACCAACAAAGGTACAAAGTAGATCTACACAAAAAGGAAATTACAGATGCCTTTTCAAAAAATCTGTTAAATTGGTCTTACATCAAAAAGTTTCAATGTGGTTGGCTGCTGGCTCTTTTATGATTCCTGTTTATATTGTAAATATATATGCGCATTTTTTTATAAAACGATCACCGCCGTTTTTCTAGGCTTTTTCGGCGTGAGAAGAATGTAAAAGGGCGATAGAAGCCGTTTTTTGAGGTTTTTTCGGCAGAAGAGAATTTAAAAACGATTGTAGTATGCGCTGTTTTTAGAGATTTTTTCAGCGTCAGAAGAAACAAAAAACGTGTTAATTCAAAGAACTGGTTATTTTTGATAAGTAGTCAAAGTAATTAGCGTAAGAAATTCAATAATTACATTTATATGTATGTACATAAAAAGTGGTTAGTAGTAGTAGTGACCTGGTAGTAGTAGTAGTGACCTGGTGGTAGTAGGAGTAGTAGGTTTAAGTGGTAAAATGTTTGTATACTGTACTTATTCCTTTGTATAATATTTGTAAATTTTTCAAGTTCAGAATCATGTAAGTCCAAGCGGTGCCTTCTGCCCTAGTTTCAGATAAGCAGGGAGCTGCGATAAAAGTTAACCATTAACCATTAACCAAATAAGTCCTGTGTGTTGCGGAAAAGAGGTTGGCAGACCTCTCGGACAGTCCTTGGTACCGGTTTGACAAGCAGACACCTTTTTATAATGTAAAGTCTGTATAATTGGATATTAGCTAAATTTTGGTCTGTTTTTGGGGTCTGTCAAACTCTCTAAATTGTATTTGAAAACGTTCTCGGGGTTAGAGTCCCTTTGAGAAAAGATAAAGTGTAGGATCCTTAGTGAAACCATGGTATAAAAGAAAAAGCAATTTAATAAAAAGGGAAATGTGAAAAAGAGGCCTTTGTTACAAAAGCTTTGAAATTGACGAATTTCAGGCTGATAAATGACAAAAGTAAAGAAGCAACAATATTTTCAGTGATCACGGTTTAAATTACAGAGAGATAAAGGGAGTTTTTTGTTTTTTTAGTTTGTTTATTGGCGTGAACAGAGTTCACCGGAGAATGCCGAGTTTTATCTACAGTTAAGCTATGAGAGGGTTGTGTATCCAACAGTTGTTTTTGTTTTTTAGAAAGAGATTTTGAGTTTAAATTAGTTTGCTACCTCGATAAAATAGAAGCGTAAACGTTAAAGACAAGAGTGCCTTTTGTTACAAGTGTGGAAATTGATCACTTCTAGACTTGGATGACAAAAGTATAAACTACAACATCAGTTATATTCGCTTAAAAAGTAATCTTGAAAGTTCTTCTTCTTTCTGTTTTTGCTAAAACACTACTTTCTGCCTGTGTGTGTGCGCGTCTGTGTGAAAGGAACCCCCCCGCCCTCCTGCTGCTGAGCTGCTGCTGAGCTGCTGCTCTGATTTAAAGGGGACCTACTGCGTTTAGGATTTTGGCTTTTCATAGTTGTTATTGGGGGGGGGGGGGGGGGGGGGGGGGGGGGGGGGGGGGGGGGGGGGGGGGGGGGGGGGGGGGGGGGGGGGGGGGGGGGGGGGGGGGGGGGGGGGGGGGGGGGGGGGGGGGGGGGGGGGGGGGGGGGGGGGGGGGGGGGGGGGGGGGGGGGGGGGGGGGGGGGGGGGGGGGGGGGGGGGGGGGGGGGGGGGGGGGGGGGGGGGGGGGGGGGGGGGGGGGGGGGGGGGGGGGGGGGGGGGGGGGGGGGGGGGGGGGGGGGGGGGGGGGGGGGGGGGGGGGGGGGGGGGGGGGGGGGGGGGGGGGGGGGGGGGGGGGGGGGGGGGGGGGGGGGGGGGGGGGGGGGGGGGGGGGGGGGGGGGGGGGGGGGGGGGGGGGGGGGGGGGGGGGGGGGGGGGGGGGGGGGGGGGGGGGGGGGGGGGGGGGGGGGGGGGGGGGGGGGGGGGGGGGGGGGGGGGGGGGGGGGGGGGGGGGGGGGGGGGGGGGGGGGGGGGGGGGGGGGGGGGGGGGGGGGGGGGGGGGGGGGGGGGGGGGGGGGGGGGGGGGGGGGGGGGGGGGGGGGGGGGGGGGGGGGGGGGGGGGGGGGGGGGGGGGGGGGGGGGGGGGGGGGGGGGGGGGGGGGGGGGGGGGGGGGGGGGGGGGGGGGGGGGGGGGGGGGGGGGGGGGGGGGGGGGGGGGGGGGGGGGGGGGGGGGGGGGGGGGGGGGGGGGGGGGGGGGGGGGGGGGGGGGGGGGGGGGGGGGGGGGGGGGGGGGGGGGGGGGGGGGGGGGGGGGGGGGGGGGGGGGGGGGGGGGGGGGGGGGGGGGGGGGGGGGGGGGGGGGGGGGGGGGGGGGGGGGGGGGGGGGGGGGGGGGGGGGGGGGGGGGGGGGGGGGGGGGGGGGGGGGGGGGGGGGGGGGGGGGGGGGGGGGGGGGGGGGGGGGGGGGGGGGGGGGGGGGGGGGGGGGGGGGGGGGGGGGGGGGGGGGGGGGGGGGGGGGGGGGGGGGGGGGGGGGGGGGGGGGGGGGGGGGGGGGGGGGGGGGGGGGGGGGGGGGGGGGGGGGGGGGGGGGGGGGGGGGGGGGGGGGGGGGGGGGGGGGGGGGGGGGGGGGGGGGGGGGGGGGGGGGGGGGGGGGGGGGGGGGGGGGGGGGGGGGGGGGGGGGGGGGGGGGGGGGGGGGGGGGGGGGGGGGGGGGGGGGGGGGGGGGGGGGGGGGGGGGGGGGGGGGGGGGGGGGGGGGGGGGGGGGGGGGGTGGGGGGGGGGGGGGGGGGGGGGGGGGGGGGGGGGGGGGGGGGGGGGGGGGGGGGGGGGGGGGGGGGGGGGGGGGGGGGGGGGGGGGGGGGGGGGGGGGGGGGGGGGGGGGGGGGGGGGGGGGGGGGGGGGGGGGGGGGGGGGGGGGGGGGGGGGGGGGGGGGGGGGGGGGGGGGGGGGGGGGGGGGGGGGGGGGGGGGGGGGGGGGGGGGGGGGGGGGGGGGGGGGGGGGGGGGGGGGGGGGGGGGGGGGGGGGGGGGGGGGGGGGGGGGGGGGGGGGGGGGGGGGGGGGGGGGGGGGGGGGGGGGGGGGGGGGGGGGGGGGGGGGGGGGGGGGGGGGGGGGGGGGGGGGGGGGGGGGGGGGGGGGGGGGGGGGGGGGGGGGGGGGGGGGGGGGGGGGGGGGGGGGGGGGGGGGGGGGGGGGGGGGGGGGGGGGGGGGGGGGGGGGGGGGGGGGGGGGGGGGGGGGGGGGGGGGGGGGGGGGGGGGGGGGGGGGGGGGGGGGGGGGGGGGGGGGGGGGGGGGGGGGGGGGGGGGGGGGGGGGGGGGGGGGGGGGGGGGGGGGGGGGGGGGGGGGGGGGGGGGGGGGGGGGGGGGGGGGGGGGGGGGGGGGGGGGGGGGGGGGGGGGGGGGGGGGGGGGGGGGGGGGGGGGGGGGGGGGGGGGGGGGGGGGGGGGGGGGGGGGGGGGGGGGGGGGGGGGGGGGGGGGGGGGGGGGGGGGGGGGGGGGGGGGGGGGGGGGGGGGGGGGGGGGGGGGGGGGGGGGGGGGGGGGGGGGGGGGGGGGGGGGGGGGGGGGGGGGGGGGGGGGGGGGGGGGGGGGGGGGGGGGGGGGGGGGGGGGTTGGGGGGGGGGGGGGGGGGGGGGGGGGGGGGGGGGGGGGGGGGGGGGGGGGGGGGGGGGGGGGGGGGGGGGGGGGGGGGGGGGGGGGGGGGGGGGGGGGGGGGGGGGGGGGGGGGGGGGGGGGGGGGGGGGGGGGGGGGGGGGGGGGGGGGGGGGGGGGGGGGGGGGGGGAAAAGAGGAAATCAATTCTAACATGATCAAAGGGAGATCTTTCACAACAGCTCATGTGGTAAAGACATTCAATGATTAAAACTTATTTTATTCGCCAATGTGAATGAATCATGCATAGTACCCATCATGGAGTCCAAAACCACAATATAAAACTGTTTAGTGTTGTTTTATGACTAAATATGGGATTTGTTTATGTGAACGTTCTATTATATACAGTGGCTCTCAAAAGTACGTATTTTTGATTCTCTGATCTGTGTTGGCAAATTCAATAGTTTTCCTCCGAGAAAACTAATTTAGTGATTTAAGGCTATACAAGAGAGAATTAAATTGAATTGAATTGAATATGATATTTAATTTGCTTTCACTTCACAGTTGCCACTTTGTATTGGTTTTCACTCTCACCCCCACAATAAAGGTAACACTTTATTATTGCCCGTATGGAGTGCCACTAATAATTATATTAATATGCTGTAAATTTATATATGAGATAAAATATATTTGTAAATAAATAGACAATTAAACAATGCAATGCTTTATTAGATATGTGTATTATTATGCAAATTAAAGCAACTGACTATTGATAATCTTGAATTTCTAATCTCTATTTTATTTTCCAATATTTTTAATTACCTTGAAGCTGCGTTTCCTCTTGGGCACGTTCTGCTCTGGGTGGAGGAGGATGATGTAGACCTTGGGCATGTAGAGCATCCCCAGAGACACAGAGGCTGAGAGGCTGAGCGAGATGGTCAGAGTGGTGGTCTGAATGTACATCTGAAACACATTAACACACACGGTTATTCTTCAGATAAGTTTATTTATTTTCTTTAAATTGTAATTTATTTTATTTAGCACCAAGTAAAGAGGTAACTGTTGGTAATAAAACAAGAAAGCAACAGTTCTTCATTTTAAACTATAACATATCAAAAATACAAAGTGCCTTTGCCTAAAATACCATGGAAAGTTACAACATTAAACAAGAGTCTATGTAATTCAACTTACAATGAATTAACAAAAGTCTTATTACACACAAAAAGCGATAGGGCAAGCCTTACATTTTTCTAATGGTGATAATGGCTCAAAGATTGTAAAAATCCTAAATATAATTTTTTTTTGAAAATGGACTATAATCCATAATAATTCAAATGAATGAGTCTGTATCAAACATAACTCACATTTTAGGTTGAAACTTTTGAACAGTACTCTGAACTGTATTAGACAAGTATCACATGTATAATATATCAAACATTTTCTGCATGTACACCTTTTTGTAACAAACCATATGTGCTCATTGCTTGATGGTCCAGAAACCCTTTAAAGGGACAAAAGCACAAATGTGAAAGTAAGAACTAATCCATTGTTTTTGCCATGACAGCTGCTAAGATGCACACGCAAAGATTGCCATCATCAAGAAGTGCAACAGCTCGTATCCTTATTGAAAACCACAGAGATGTGGGTTCAAAACATACAACAAAGAAAAAGGAAGATGAGTGGGCACATGGCAAGTATCTGTTTTTGTTTGTGTTTTTTTATTTTATTTTTTTATTGGCATATACAATATATTACAGCACATACATTATAGACCCATTTGTACATTTAGACATGAACCTACATAAACATATAAGCATTTACATTGGGTCAGGCGGGGGGACAGGGGGGGGGGGGGGGGGGGGATTCAGCGTGCGCGAGTGTGTGTGTGTGTGTGTATGTGCGTGTTCACTTTTGGTGTAATTGAATAGGTATCTGAGGGTGTTGAAGATTTTCTTTTATTGACCGGTAGTGAGAGAGGGGAGAAAGAAAAGAGAGAGACTAATAATAATAGTAATAATAATAATAATAATAATAAAAACGTAGGACGAGTTGAGGTGCTATAATCCAAGGGGGGGGGGGGGTCGTAATGTTGGTGAAGAGGGTAGCAGAGCCATAACTAGGCATATTAAAGCTGCACTAACTGACTTTGGGATTTTGAAGCCGCGGACTCGCTGGCCTCGCTCTTTCTGCTCCCCTCCCCGCACCCACGAAGCTATCGCCCCCCACACACACAGTGTTGAGACGGAGCTAGCCTCTCCCAATATGGATAATACATGGATATGGATTTTCACGTGGATGGCGTGACCATAGAACGATAGAACCGGGAAGCGCGGAGGAACGAGACTTTCTTTTGGATGGCTGTTTTGCTGTGTAAGCAGTACCCGGTGACGAAGACGAGAAAGTTTCAGGTTAGCTCCGCCGCTTGTTGTGCTAACTCAGCTGTCTGTGCTAACGGACCTGGAGATTTCTCACGAAAGTGGGGGCTAGTGGTGCGCTGTGATTGGTCATAATCTGCGACCCGAAACACATTCTCATCAAAACTTGATCTAAAATATAATGTCAGGCCAGCACAAATCTGCGCTACTTTTTCTTCAAAAGGACGTATATCCCAATGCACTACATGGACATGGATAGCATTTTCGTAATTAATACGAAAATAAAGTCAGTTAGTGCAGCTTTAATGTTTTTGGTATGAACGTAAGTAAGCTTTATCCAATCAATCAATTTTGAGCATTAGTCTTCTCATTCACACAGAGATGGGAGCGAGTTGGTAGATGATTATTGTTACTCTTCCAGCAGGCACAAATTCTAAAAAAAGAGGCAAAATCGCACAATCAAAACATCTGATGGAACTAGGGATGTAAAAAAATTTCATGACCGACCACCGAGCCTCATTAACCGGTGGTCATTAACCTCATTAGTTTAAAATAGTCCACGTTCTTTGAAATAACAGCCATTTTGAGCCGCGTACTTCTCATAAGTGCAGCTCTGCGTTCTACGGGATCAGAGCTGAGACAGCGGCCCCAAAACCCGCAACAGCTTTGGCACCTTTGCGCGCAGAGAACTGCTTTTTTAATCTTCCCATTCTTCTGTGCTGCGGGTTAAAGCATTTTTAAGCAAAAGACGGCTCGTTCACATGGTCAGAGCAGCGAGTGACGAGCCGCGTCTCTCAGGTCTCCGCTAAAGTTTAAATACAAGTGATGTGTGTGGAGCTGATCTAACGACAAGGACCATAAACACAAACATGTTCCTGTGGTTTGACTGAAGCCGCGTATTTGCGAGGATCCTTTGGGCTGTGTGACACAGAGGAGCGCGACAGACCGGTATGTGTGTGTGTACAATACATGTATGTGTGTATAAGTATGTATGTGTGTGTGTGTATGTGTGTAAATGTACACACATACACATGCCAAATGTCCAATGTAGTTCTGACCCGCACCGGTGTGCAACTAGCAGGCGGCAACAGAGGGGAGAGATGATGCGTGTGGATGTTACATATCAATGGAGGGGGGAAAGTGTGTGTGTGTGTGTGTGTGTGTCTGTGCGCGCGTGCATGTGTGCGTGCATATGTGGCGCTTGCGTCGTGAGAGTCGTCCCAGAGTTTACTAATACATTGGCGCACACAGCTAGAGACGGACCCGCTCGTCACACCGTGCAAATAGGGCTTAAAAAAGCGTTATGAAGAGACCTCCCCTTTTTCTCTTTTTTAACCGACAGCTTTGACCGGTTTACGCTGTGACGGTCAACCACCGGTTAAACGGTCACCGATTTACATCCCTAGATGGAACCATAAACTAGGGCTGGGCGATAAAACTATAACGATATATATTGCGATAGACACGTGTTCGATATCAATAGAAAACGGGGTCGATAGAACTTTGATAGTTTCATTTCAGTCCGTTCGAAAAAAACAGGAACAAAACACAGGAAGTAAAGCCGAGTCAGAAGCGCACGGCATTCTGGGGGATGTAGGCAAAGGCTTCTCGACCTATCACAGCTGACTACAAACCACAAAACTTTCTGGGAAAAGCAAAAAAACAACCGCACCATGTGTAGCGTTCATGGATCATGGATCTATAATAGCCATGGATCTAAAGATCGTGTCTCAGTGCCGTGTCAATGGTTAAACACGTCCGAGCGAGGAACAGCATGTGCGGCGGGAGAGGGCCCCGTGACTGTAAACAAGGCTGCTAACATGTGTTAGCCGACACGACAAAGGTATTTATTCACGTTTTAAAAAATAAATAAAAAACAATCAATATCTATTGTTATCGACCGATATGAATCACTTATATTGTGATATAGTTTTCAGCCATATCGCCCAGCCCTACCATAAACTACCACGGCTGAAGAGCAACTGAATGTAACATCTCAGATGCAGGAATCTTAAAACTGGGTTGGTGCTAAATACCATGCTTACAATAACGACTATTTTCAATGAGATTTTCATCCCCAAATTGAGAAAAAGAATACATGTATTGTATCACCTATCATCCTGGTTTCACAATTGTGTTTCTTAAACCCCCGGCAGCAGCATGTTCATTTGAAATCAGATTCAAGAATCAAGTGAAACTGATGGAAGAGGGTTTCTGCCCAAAATCCCTCAACGTATGGCTCCATTCATCTTTTGGTTTGTACAAATCAGTCGTTCTGTCCCTTTTGCAGAAAAAGCAACCCCAAACTATATTATTCCCACCGCCGCCTGTCACAGTGTATTTGTTGTATGAGTGAGAAGCCGCATACCATCTGCTTTGTCCGACCCCTTTTCACACAGAGTATCCTGTTTGTACTATACTATACATTAGACTTTGAGAGGCCTCAAACCACATCTTTACTTCAACACACATAACTTGCAGTCACATTTTCCAAAGACATTCACCTCCTCCTCCTCTGTAGAATTGTCACATGTCGGAGTATGTGCCTCTCTGACCTCCCTCTCTGCACTCCTTGACCGCTCCTGTGGACTCCACCATAATGAGCTCCTGGAGGAAATGGTGTCCGGAAAAAGCCTGTTGCTTGTCTAAAACAAACTCCCCATGTGCTCGGGTGCCCTCCTTCACCACTGATATTTCAACATATTCATCGATAGATATATGTATACAGTACATAGTCTTCTGTGTCACTAACATGCCCATGGGGTTTTTCTGTATGAGAAAGATGAGTTGTGGATATAATTCACTTTTAAATCTGGGTAAAAAGGCTCTTAGAGTACT